ATTATTGTCCTTTATATGCTGATATTCTGAATCACACAACAGATGAAAAGTCGGCTCGCATTAAGGTCCTGATCTAACACTAACCTATGTAAAAAAAGCATTAAAGTAGAAGCAACGTGTACCACATCTTTCCCAGATTCTGAAGAGGCAGAATACAGCTTTAAGAAAAATAATGGTGAGGTCCAACAGGTTGACCCATAAAGCAAGCTATACGTATTAATGTATCCTCCTGAGAAACTGAAGTCAGAGATTTTGAAAGGACGCCTCTTAGATTTCTCTCTTGGGCGTTGCTTCCCTAATTGCACATATCCATCCCAATGTGAGACCAATGTGTCCCATGAAGACAAAGTCAAGTCTGAAAACAGAAGAGACTGTTTAAATAAAGAACAAAACAAAAACAAAATTAAAAGGATTTGGACCTATCATTATGTGAATTAACCAGAGAAGCATTAAAACACTGCCTCCTGAATTAATTTGTTTAAACAAAAGTTATCCTCATGGTTCTCTTCAGTCTAGTTTGTTACTAAATGTCTCCAAGTCCTTTAGATGATAGTTGGTTTGTGATAATGTTTACCACTCTCTGATTCCACATTATGTGGAATTAGGAACCCTTAATACTCCAGATAGGAGGGGATATATGAGTTAATGCTCCTAAAGTCAGCACAGATTTGGAGCACAAATTTTTATTAATATAATATGATGGAAACAATCTCTTTTTTTTGCATATTTGTCTCAAAATTTATAGTGATGACAAATTACTGTCGAAATGAAAAAGAAGTAAATAATTCATCTAATTCATGTAACAATTTTCCTACTCACAGGACTTTTAGACACAAAATCTTACATGCATTGTGCATTGGAAAGCTTTTTGTGACAACTTGTCAATTTTCCCTATTGTTTCAAATCACTTAATCACACATTTCTTCACATTTTTTCTATTAAATTATCATATAGATGCAACTATTAAAAATAGTTACAAAGTATGGTTTCCATTTTCATAACTACAGAATACCAAGCTGCATCCAAAATTTGTATTTCCATTTTGATATTGCTTTATAGTTTTAAAGAATACTAGCAACTATGAAAGTTGCTTTCAAGAATAGTGGAATAACTAAAAATCAAATAAAAAAATACTGATGATAATTAATGAAAAAGAGGATTCATGTGTAATCAATTTATAAATCTGAGGATATCAGCCAACATCTTATTTTTGACTATGGATTTTGTAAGTTCTAAAATGCACACAACCAAGAGTGATATTGCAAAATTAGAGGTGTTAAAATGTAGATGTATTAAAAGGAAAATTATCTGCCAGTACAGAGGTAGTTTGGAAGCTAGCTAGCTCCTGGAAATGTCAACAGCAGGAAAATATAAAAAACATTTTTCTTAAAGCTGCAAGGTATTCAAAGCTGTGGGACTGCATAAACTATATCCTGACAGATCACCGTGACATTCTCCAGTTATCATTCAGGTTTGCCTGGCTGACCAGTCAAACTGCATTAATTTTAGCCTGACGTCTCCCTTTAACTCTCTCCTTCTCTGCAGTCACTCTCACCAGCTGCTGCACAAAAATAAATTTTTTCCAGCAATAAATGGTTATTCAGTTCTGAATTTTGTACATTTGCTTAAACCAAAATGTATGTCATTAGGACACAAAGCATAAATTATGGGTAGAAAAGCACTCTACTGATTTTAATATTAATATAATATTAATATAATATATACATGTAATATAAATATATGTGAGACAACGCTTTGTCTTACATATCATGATCTGGCATATATTTTATCATCCAGATGTAAGTCTGATGTACAGTAGATCCTCTAAGTTTCTTAATTAAAAAAAACAAACCTTCAATGTTTTGGCTGCATCTGTACTAGGAAGATCTTCCTTGCTACTGTTCTCTCCGCTCATACATAGACAGACACATAAACTCTTACCAAATTCTGCATAACTTACTCATATTTAGGATGACAGGTACAGAGATAAGGTACTTTACATAATCCACAGATGAATAAATTCATCATAAGGGTAACTGGCCAAAAAAAGAGTCTCTGTTATATACATATATACAAATCTAACACAAAATTTTGCAGTGCATCATCATAAACTATACCAGTGTATTTTTTATTTGAGAAGAAAGCATTATTTCAAAGAAGAATTGAGTTTCATTGGGTTAAAGTAATGACTTTAGCACTCTCTACTCAGGTAATTTATATGGATTTCTTAAACTAGTCATGTTTGATGCTACAGCAGTGAAGAGAATTGTTTTGAAATTTCCATTTAGCAAAAAAAAAAAAAAAAAGTCTATTAAGCATGTCCCTTTTCTCCGCCATATATATGCATTCTTCTAGCATTGTTACTGTAGAATAATAGAATATTACTAAACACAAAAAATATTGCAAAATGTTGTCGCAGAAGAGCCAAACTATTTTCCAGGGTTTCAAAATAACCTTTGACAGGAATTTTCTTTTCTCCAATTTTTTATTAAAAGCATACACAAAATAAATATAACAACTAAGCTCTGATGCTGAGCCACAAATCCACTAGAAGTGAGCCTCTGGCATCTTCCCTACACTTCAGAACGCTAACTTTGATCACATAAGATTCTTCTAATTTGAAAAGGCCACGGGAGTTTCCACCAAACAAACACTTCATAGAAAAATGCAGGAAACTCAAAACTTCATAAAAAATAAGCAACAAATGGCCCTTTTGTAAATCCTTTCACCTAGCCATAAGAAAAAACCCCAACGTATATTAGCTGGAAGTAATTAAGAAATGACAGACTATCAGTACAATGTTGGAAAAGACTGAGTGCACTGCAGTGCTCAGAGACAAGCAAGTAAGGAATTAAGTGAAAATGTATTACAAAACATACTAAATTCAAAGTCAATAATTAAAAACAATGTTTCATTTGAACCTTTATGAAATGATTAAGCTACTCTAGTTTTGAGAATTTTGAGCCATCACAAAATGAAGGAAAAGGGCACAATATACATAGGACGGAATGGTTATTGAGATCAGAGAATATTCCATTCTTGGTTTCACCATTAGCTTTCAAGATGTAAATATTTACAAGTACTGACAAATGCTAAACTCAGCAGAACTATCAAAATCCATGTAATATCTTTAAATACATCTGCACCAAGAGAACAAAGACAAGCTATTGCTTAGGTACTGCTCACTTCTGCAGAGTTAACACAATGGGAGAAAAAATTGCTTAGCAGCTTTTTTACTTGATTCAGGCCCCTCGTTTCACCCTGAACTGTAATCTGCTTTCTCCCACACACCTACTGTTCTTTTACTCTTTCTTCTTTTTTAATTTCATTGTTCATTGACTCAGATTTCACATTTAAAAAGGCTCCTAATTTTTGTGGGTTTTTTTTTATGTTGATAAAGCTTCACAAACATCCTCTTGCATTCTTGAATGCTATCCATTTCTAGATCTCAGATATGATCTCTTTTAACAGTATGACACATAAAAAAGTAAAATCTAGAATAGAAATGGATGGATTGGATGACAATCTCAAGGGCAGCAAAGACATGAGAAGAAAAATACTGATGGTGCATTTATACTGAAGGACATACAACACCTAGTTTAGTATAAAGAGGAAGACATGAAGAAATAATTCATCCAGGGAGTTTAAGAATTCTTACAGCACAGTCTGCCAAAATGATGCCACTAAAGTACACTCACAAGGACTACAAGAGAAATAGAATAGCAATAAAAATTTTTGTTCTTTTACGTTTGGTCTTGTATCTCTTTTGCTTGTACTTTAATTTCTGCCTTGCTATGTAAATTATGTTGTAATTGCAAAGTCTCAGCGTACTTGAAGGGTTACAAAGGACCCAGCTGAAACTACTAGGTGTACTGTCTCTATTGAGTAATAAAATTATTCCTGATTAAGAATTTCCTGAGCAAACTCCAAGCACTGAGGAGCACCTCCTGCACCCAGTCAGCAACTGATGTGGATGCAGCCTGCACTGCTGTTCTCTTGTTTGGAGCAATGACCACAGAGGGTCTCCCGCAAAAAGCAAGCTACAGAAAAGTATCTCAAAGCCTAAGGTAAACCTCAGAAGAACCTAAAATACATCTGTAGCAATATGCTGACTAACAAACCAGACGCAGTGATGACTCAAGTCCTCATTGACAGCTTCAAACATATTCCAGTCAACACAACTGTTCTCTTCATTTGTAGAGGTTTGATTCAACTTCCAGTGAAGCTTTTTTACTTAGATGAGTGAAAACTACACAGAGGTACCTATATAGTAAGTATAGGTATTGCATGAAGTATGCATGGAGTGACATTTTTTCTCCTCTTTGTTGTATACTTCTGCAGTCTAGTTTGCCTTTCATATATAGCAACACTCACTTAAGAATCAGTATGCAAACTGAAAAAGGAAAAGGAAAAATATATTTAAAAAACTAGGAACACAACTATTATTCTTCCCTCTCAAAAATTACATTGAAAAAAAATGTATAACCAAATTTTCCAGGTCACTTCATCATTTATACTCACATAAATGAGTAGTCAGAAAAGAAAATAATGGCAAAAGGTAAAAGCATGAAGTTACTTAGCTTACAGAGCAAACATGAAACACCCCATTTCAACATTTTTATCATTTGTGTCAGGTCTCAGAGATCTCTGACAATTACTTTGGAGGCAATGTGTTATTTCCCACTTATATAAAAAGAAATTACTGCAGATAATATATATCGGAAGCAAATTTAATTGTAGCCATCTTCATACAGGAGGATTTCATTACAACCTCAAAATACATGTCATAAAATATATTTATCACCTTTAGGTGACCTCTAACCAGAAATGTGTTATGCTATTCAAATTCCAACTGTCAAATGCTGTAGATATAGGTAAGTAAATACAAATGCCATTAAAGACAGAAGTTATCTTGGAGAAGTTCTAGCTTTTTATTTTCTGACAGCTCCTAAACTGGATATCTTCCAGTGTCAACAAAACCTGTCCGAGCAGAATCTTACCTTGTTTTCACTACATCAAGGGGATGCATCAGGCAAATTTCTACAAGACCTATAAAATAATAATAAAAAAGGCCTAATAAGCATTTGTACAAACCAATTTCATTTTCATTAACTTAGGTAGTTCTTGAACTTTGAAAAGTGAAAACCTAAAGGTATCCTTAATGTTACAGTACTTAAATACCTCATATATTCAACATACTCTTCTTCAAGGATTTTAGACACTAAACTAAGTGATAGTTGTTTGCTGCAGAGAGGAAAACTAGCACATATTAGCTATGGGATCACTTTATTCATCATTTCTGCTCAGTTCTCTGCCTTAAGATCACCAGAAATATTTGGCTGCCATCATAAACAAATACATTAATTCTCGCAGAAAGTAGTGAAAGAAGGAGTTCAGGTTAGCACAAGCTTCTTTGTCATATGTGACTAATCCTTAGAGGTACTGCCGTTAAGAAAGACAGTGTTGGCGGCTCTGATGAACCTGGTATTAAAATGACCAGACATTCTTGAGATGGTATTTGAGCTGAGGCCTTATTGGCTCTTCATCATGTCCTGTTCCTCAGCTAATGCTGAATGCTGTCCATGTGTTCCCCCTTCCTGTTCCACCAGCCATCAAAAACACTTAAATTCACATGCTGGGGACTTTCCGTGTCCAAGAGTGGAGGGTGTGGATGGCACAGGGAAAATTCTGGCAAAAGAAGAGATCTGGAAAATCCCTAATGCACTTGAAACCACTGGCTTCAAAGCTGGTTCCATTACTGTTTTCCACTCAGCTGCCACCTCATGAAAAACCCAGACCTTTACCACCCACTTATTGCCCCTGATCCATGGCATATGTTGCCTTTTATTATTTCAGAGAGCTCCAGACTTTCTATAGATTTTCTCATGTTTTCTACACCGGTGTATTTCTCTGATCATTTTATATACCACTCCCGTGTCAAACAGCAAGCATATAAGAACATGTATTTTTCTGTATAACAGTAAAAGTACATTTTTGAGATCTCAATACTCAGAAATGACAAAAAACAACTATATAAATGTTGAAGGATTTATAATTACTGAGCAAATTTACATCTGTGCATCAAGGATACTACATTCCAGAATCAAAGAATCAGAATGCCTGAGGTTGGAAGGGACCTTAAAGATCATCTAGTTCCATCTCCCTTGCTGTGGGCAGGGCTGCCTGCCACCAGCTCAGGCTGCCCAGAGCCCCATTCAGCCTGGCCTTGAATGCCACTGGGGATGGGGCATCCACAGCTTATCTGGGCAGCTCCTGCCAGTGCCTCACCATCCTCTGAGTAAAGAATTTCTTTCTAACATCTAATCTAAATGTGTCCTCTTTTAGCTTTAACCCACTAACCTTTGTCTAAGCTTTACACACCTTGATAAATAATCTTTCTTGTGGACTCTCTTTAAAGATGAGAAGGCCACTATAAGATTTCTCTAGAGCCTTCTCTTCTCTAGGCTGAACAATCCCAATCCTCTCAGCCTTTTTTTTTTTTTTTTTTAAGTTTATGAAAAAAGTTAGCCCATCACTGAAACAAAGCATTGGTGGAGTGAAAATTCTCATTATAGTCAAAGGAAAGTTAGCCAATAAAGGCAAGAGCTTTTAGCTCAACTTATAATAAATATCTATATTTAAAAATCAGTTTTCTGCTTAGCATACCATACATACTGAATACATTATTCATAATAATTATATATTTATCTTAAGAAAGAATACTCTAAGCATCAAAAAACTGCAAAGATTTTTGCACATGACTACACAATTAGTTTTTCAAGTTAGTAACAGGAGGGTACAAGCTGTAATACTAAAATCTCAACCAGATGCATTTGAACAGGAGTTTACATGAAAGTTTGCAAAGATCTTAAAATATCTAAATTGAATTACTTGCACAAAATATCTACTGAAAGTTACAATTTTTCCCACTTTTCTACAATTACACTGTAATGTACAATGCTTGCAAAACATAAAACTGGCCAGATAACCCCTTACACCCAGCCTCTTCTTGCTGTGTTTGAATGAAACTATCAAAGTAATATTTGACTATTATTTTACCATATTTTCTTTTCACCCTACTCAACATTTAATTTCTGCAAAAAAGGAAGATAACATACATGGCATCAGCCATCAAACTAATATAAATATTAATATTAATGAAATTCATTCAAAATTATGTGATTTAATATTTTTAATATTTTTTTTTTCTAGAAAGTTAGAGGTGTAGATTTTATTTCTGAACAGATATATTTATTGCCATAATTATTGCCCAGGAATGAGTTATATTTTATTAAAACAAGAACAAATCACATGTCACGTAAGTGAACACGGTCTGTAAGTTTTCTGTCCTCATTCTGTCCCCAAACCTATAAACTACTCCACAGCTGCCAACAGGTGCTTTACAAATAGAGCTACAGACAAGTGTTTCAGTGCTGGCACTGCCTATGAGCTTTTTCTTTTCTAACGACCCTCCTTTTCTAACTTCTCACACCTCTCAAATGTTAGATCTTCTCTTCTGTCTTGTTTTGGCAGACACAAACAACAGTAGGAGGGCAAGCATGGGGCCAGGGGCTGTTCACCCTATTCTGTTTTTGTAGCATTAATGTCCATTTTGGGAGAAAAGTGTATAGTGCCAGAATTTGGCTCTGTTTTCTTGGTCCTCATAGAATAATTTTTAATTCAGGCATTCTTCCAGCAACTGAATCAGATGAATTCCAAGGTTTTTGGCAAGAGATCTGTTTTGATAACTTCAGGATTCTATTGGTTATCTGTTTTTCTCAGTCCTTCTTTTGTATCATCATTTAATTACATACTAGGTTTTAAACAATGTATAATTACTTGAGATTATTACAAGATTCTCTGAAGAGCACAAAAGGAGTGCACACTGTGCAAGATGTTAATGGAACAGCTACAAACACAAGCTACATTTTTCCATCTACTATAGTAGTCATGCAGATCATTACAACATCCTACTTGATAGCCTGCCCAGAAAGTGTGGTGGCCTTACTAAATTACAAGCACTCTGAGATGTGCCTAATAAAATAAAATATATTGCTCTTTCTTAAGCTAATGTTCATCAGGTTTGTGGCAAATTCTATTAGCACTATGAAAATCTAATTAGTTAAATAGGTATGGTGCAATATATTTTAATTTGTCATACTGAAAAGACTACTGTTTACCAACTTTATTTTCGTGATAAAGTAGTCAACATAGCTACACAGATAGATTGTCCAAAAACATGTTCTAATAGTCCCATTGGGTCTCCTTGGTGATGTCACAAGTGAACTAATTCAGAGTGATTTATAATGGTCTAATTATGTTTAAAGCAACTCAGATCCAACAAACTGAACAAGAGCCCAAAGGAAACATAGGAAAGAACAATAACTGGAGCAATTCAACCTTTGTTGTCTTCTGGGTGGGAAAACGTTCTTTGTGAAAACTGGATACTAACAATAAAATAAGACAATAAAAATCTGTGTGTAGAAGAAATAACCAGCTGTCATCATTGACAACATTTTGAATGTACTCAAGTGGAAAATCAACAACCAGGAGGGAAGTCCACAGTTCTATTATGTAAACCATGATGCTGATTAGCTAAGGCTGCAGAGAGAGAAAATGTCAGAGAATATTGACACCGAAGCAACTCTCCTAGGTAGAACATTTTCCAGCTAATACTGCCTGTTTTTAAACTGTTTTCCATAATGGATTACGTTACATTTCCCTCGACAAGAGTCACACTTAAAATATCAAATTGGCAGTCTTCTCTTCAAAGTAAACATTTCAGTGAGTGGTAGGTATTTTAAGTTCCTTTGCTCTTCGTTCCACTGTTCCATCATGCACACAAATCTTGTACCAATGAACATATAATATTTCCAGAAAATGCTATGACTCCTCAAAACAAGAATGATTCCATGTCTTGCACGTTCACTGAATAGGAAAAAAAGAATGAGATGTAGCTAACAATACTTGCTTAATAGCACAGATAAGAATAGAATCATTATGGTTTTGGTCAAAGTGGACAAATCCTTGCTTTCAGCTCTCCTTAGAACCTATGAACTGACTTGTCCTGTGTCTGTGATACACACACTTCCCTGTCTTCCATAGAAATCTGAGTAGCTGACCTTCTATACGTTTTCTGCAAAATGCACCCTGAAAGGGTGTTCCAGTACAGACTGAGGAGATGCAGAGCATGATCCATGTATGTTAGTTCAGACAACCCCCTACTGCTCAGAAGTCATTATGCACCCTCCTACCCTTGTGTTACTCATTTCCCTGGAATAACACAGTCACTGGAGAACCACAACAGAAAGGAGACTGGTCATAGAAAATGTGGCAATAAACACTTTAGGCGCTGTGCATTGTATAGTTGGAACAGTCTGTATTTATTTTGGCTTTTACATAGACATAGTTACAAGGTAAGAAACGATGATAAATATTTTATGTATACTATGCATTTCCTTCTGAGAATATATGTCTGACAGACAAAATCTTATGTTGCTCTTTGTATCCTAATAAAAACAATGACATATTCTTACGTTTGTCTGTTAGCTAAAACGGTTTGACAATATGAAGTGGAAGCACTTCCTGATTATGATGGTATTGTTAGAAGAATAACCAGTAACTGTAAAAAAAAAAAAAAAAACCTGCATCCCTGCAGTCAATTCCATTCAATCTAATTTTTGTTAGCCTGCTGTTCTGCTGTATTTTCATAGATACATAATGCTTTTACCTGATCTGTAAGCGTAAATCTGAGTCATAAGAAAACCCAACAAAACTCTAGATTCACCATAATACATATATCACTCTACTCCTTTCCCAGGGAGATGGTCACATATTGTGCCCTTCCCATTTAAAGTAAGAGTTAAGTAGTTCAACAAGAAAATCTTTTCAGCAGTCAGTATGCGATATGCTGAAAAAGATCTACACATTAGTTGTTACTAAAGAAAGTGATGCATGTTTTAACTTTTGCCCAGGATTCTATTTAGCAGTTTGGTATAAGATTAACTAACAATACCCTGGAGCTTCTCAAAAATCATTAATTAATGACT